CAAACTAACACCCTAACTGTATAATACATATTTCCCTCTCCACAGCCCAGTAAGGGGCATCCCTTGCTGTCTGGACATCTCCAAGAATGCAGAATTCATCAGTTCCTAAGAGGCAACTATACTCATTTCAGATGATCTTTATTTGTTGGAATGTTCTTCCCAGTGTCCAGAGGAAACCAGACTTACTCTAGATCCTTTCCCGACCCTAGTTCATACGTGGAGACTCACAGCCCAAATCTGCGAGCCCTTCAAGGGCAGGAGCCTTGATTTATTGATTTTTGTGTTCCCCCAGCACAGGCCTGGAACACTTGAGGTGCCTGCAAGTATTTGCTGGATAAGAAAGATTGCTCTCATACTCCTTGGAGACTTCTCTTCCCAAATCCTTTCAACTTTTGAATTTTTTTGCCGCTGTGGTCCCTCTCCAGCCTGGTACCCAAAACGGAATGTGATTCTCCAACAATCCATCGCTGACCTCCCTGACTCTCAAAGATGTTACCCATCCATCCATTGCTATGGATGTGTATTGCTAAGATCACATTATCCCTTTGAGCAACCACACATCTGCTGATGGTTGGTACTGTTTATCCCTCTTTACCTGTACAACTGTTTGGAACCCAAGTACAGAATCTTGCATTCATTCATATGAAATTTCTTCCTCTTAGATTGGCTCGTTGTTTCAGCCTGTCAAGAGAAATTTGGATTCAACTCTAAGGCCCCCAATATTGGGAATTCCCCAAAAGTCACATCACCTGTGAATTTGCTAAGCAGACAATTGATGCCTTCAAGTAAGTCACTGGTAAAAATGGGGACAGTTGTCAGGACAGGGTGCTGGTGGCCTGTTCTTAAAGGTCTCCATGAAGTCAACATTAATCTAATCAATTAGTGTCTTTGGGGCATCAATGGTCAACAGACAGTGGTCAGTCTATGTGTCAAGGATATGGGAAGGCAGGTGGCAGTGGTAAAAGCAGAGACTTTGAAGCCTCTACATGTGGATTCTAATCCCCCTCTTCCCATCTGAGTGATCTTGAGCAATCCTCTTCACATTCCTGAGCCTGTTTCCTTATGAGTAAACTGGGGATGGAAATAGTATCTATCTTATAAGGCTGTTCTGAGGTGTCCTGACCTTCCCGCTTGTGCTGCTTGGTGGGGAAGCTGCCCTGTGCTTGCGATAACGGTGCTGTGCAGGTGGAGTCTTGACATGCTGCTATCCGCTGCGGTCTCCTAACACCACATCTTCAGTGCAGCAGCTCCCAGTCCTCTGAGCTCATAGCACCCCCAAATCCAGAGCTGGGTGGGTGTGAATTTCTGCTGCATCTGGTGCATTGCATTAAAGGGAGACAATGTGGTTAATTTCATGGTTGTGACTCTTACTGGCTGGGTGACCTCATACAAATCACCCAACTTGTCTGGTCATCAAGTTCCTCACTTGTAAGATGAAGACACTAGGGTGCTCAAAGTCAATTCCCACTTGACACTCTGATCAACAAGCACAAGGATTCTAATTTCCTCACACTTGTTATTTTCCACTGTTTTGATAATAGCCATTCTAGTGGGTGTGAAGTTGTAACGCATTGTTGTTTTGTCTTATATTTCCCTAGTGATTAGTGATGTTGAGCACCTTTTCATGTGCTTATTGGCCACTTGTATATCTGCTTTGGAGAGATGTCTGTTCAAGTCCTTTGGCCATTATTGAATTGGGTTGTTTGATTTTTGTTGTTGTTGAGTTATAGGAGGTCTCTATATATTCTGGATATTAATCCCTTATTAGATAATATGATTTGCAAATATTTTCTCCTATTCTATGGGTAGCTTTTTAACGCTCTTGATATATTGTCTTTTTGGCACACGAAGAGTTTTAATTTTGATGAAGTCCATTTTTATCTATTTTGTTGTTTGTTGCTGTTGTTGTTACCTGTGTTTTTGGTGTCATACTTAAGAACCCATTGCCAAACCCAAGGTCATAAGGAGATTCCCTACGCTTTTCTATAAGAGTGAATTTCTTCTAAGTGAATTGTACACTTTAAAATGGTTTCAATGGGCTATACTATCAAAAAACCAAAATAATGAGTGTTGGCCAGGATGTGGATAAATTGAATAACAAGTGTTGGATGAATGTGGAGAAACTGGAACTCTTGTACACTGTTGGTAGATTGTAAAATGGTGCTGCCACTATGGAAAACAGTATGGAGGCTCCTTAAAAAAATTAAAAACAGAACTATGGTATGATCCAACAATTCCATTTCTGAGTGGATATCCAAAAGAATTGAAAGCAGGGTCTCAAAGAGCTATTCACGGACCCATGTTCATAGCAGCACTGTTCACAAGAGTCAAGAGGTAAAAGCAACCCAAATGTCCATTGATGGATGAATGGATAAACAAAACATGGCATATACATACAATAGTATATTATTCAGCCTTCAAAAGGAAGGAGATTCTGACACATGCTACAACATGGATGAAACTTGAGGACATTAAGTGAAACAAGCCAGTCACAAAGAAGCAAATACTATATTACTTTACTTATACGAGGTATCTAAAGTAGCCAAAATCATAGAAACAGAAGTAGAATGGTGGTTACCAGGGGTTGGATATATGAGGAAGAGGGGACTTGTGTTTAATCAGTACGGAGTTTTGGATTTGCATGAAGAAAAAGTTCTGGAGGTCTGTTTCACAACAATGTGAAAATACTTAACACTACTGAACTGCACAGTTGAAAATGGTTAAAATGGTAAATTTTATGTGGTGTATATTTTACCTCAATAAAAAATTATTTATCCTGTCCCACCCCATAAATGGGGTGTTTGTTGGAAACAGATTTTTAATAAGGAAATAAGATTATTCTGCAAACTACAACCCATATTGGAACTTTGAGGTAAAGTTCAGGTGAATTTGACTTAGTCCATTGCTCTATAGACTCCTTTATTAACTGGAGCATAAATAGATTTCCCTCCCAGTGATTTCACCCTCTGGTCCTGCTTCTACCTCTTGAGTCTACAGGACAAGTCTAATCCCTTGGTTGGTGGTTGGTGGCAGCTGCCATGATCACTGTAGTTATGACTGATTGTCTGTCTCCCCTGTGTTGGCACAGGACACACATTCTGTCGTAGGTATTGCTCCCCAGTATAAATAGAGAAAGCAGGGCACAGGAGACAAGCCACCTGGTCAAGGATGTTATACAACCAAGGGAGTAGCGGAGCTGGGATGTGAACCCGGGTGTCCCTACCTCCAAAGCTCATGTTCCTGATGCTAGGCCAGATCGCCTCTTAGCCGGATTCCTCCTCAGCCTTCTTCTCTATGACCCCTTGTTGTTTTCTCAGATGCCTTTGTTCTGCATCCCTCACCAGTTCATTCTTCCTCTTGCAGTAAACACCAGGTAAATTCCCACCTGGTGGGAACAGAGGCAAGCCCTTCCTCTCAATACAGACATTGCCCACCTTCTCAGTGATGCCCTACTGGACCCAAACCCTATAGGGCCCAGTGTCCGCACAGAGGGAGGGGGCCATTGTCAGAAATCCATCCCAAGGCCCCTGAAGCCCTCATTCCTGCCCCCTCCCCTTGCTAAAAGGAGAACCCTTTCCCATCCGTCTCTCCTGCAGTATTTCCTCCCGGGAGTTCCTGCAAAGGAAGATGTTGCAATCTCAGGATTAAGAGCCTGTTTGTTTAAAGGGCTTATTACTGGTGCTTAATGCTATTTTGACAGGTGAAAGTGAGTCAATTATAGCTGGAAATAGTTCCAGCTGAATAGTTCCTTCCAGGTGGTTGCCCATTCCCTAGCCAAGGGACTTCTTTTCTCTTTACCAAAGGGCACTTCGTCTCTTTCCCTCATATCCTCTGACCTCCAAACCACATAAAGAATTTCCTCCTTCCAGGAAGGAACAATGTTAAAGGCATGGAGCCTAAATCCATGAGAGGGGGGCTGCTGCAGCAGCCCCCCTCCGTGAGGGGGTGAAGTGAGTGCTAAAGGGAGGCTTGACAGGTCAACCTCCAGGATAAAGAATGCAGCCCTAGCGAGCCTGGGTCCATACAGGTATCACTCTTCTCCATCAGCCACGAATGTGGCTGCCTCTCATTGAATGTCTCTCTAGGTCTTTCTTGAGGGCAATGGGTTTCTGTATTGATACCCATCCTAATTAGACCAGTGCTGGTCACAGGCTTGGGTGCCTCAGGTCGGGGGTCACCTTTATGAAGACAGCAAGAGTTCTTTCTGGGTGGCTCAAAGGACTTCCTAGGGTCACACCAAGTTAGGCTAAGGCCCCAGTGAAGATCATTCCAATGTCCCCCAGAAATTGTCTTATGTCACCAGAGCAGGACTGTGAACTGCCAGGTGGTTGGATGGACCACTGGATTCAGGGCCAGGCTGGCAGTCAGGAGTGTCATGAGATGTATTTGTAACAGGTATCTCACAGTTAATATGCCCAAGAAAGAGCTCTCTTCCTCAACATGCCCAAACACACACAGACTTCTTCCAGACTCTCCCATCACAAAGAATGGCACCACTGTCCACACATCTGCTCCAGCTCTAACTCTGACAGTCATCCTGGATTTCTCTCTTTCTCTCACCCCTTGAGGTCCTTAAATAGAATCCATTAGCAAATCCTGCTGCCTCTACTCCAAATGTTCTAGCAAATCTGACCAAAGTGTTGCATATCTACTACCACTGTCCCAGTCTAAGCCACAGTGATTCCCAGCCTGGACTCTTGCAACCGCTTTCCAACAGATATTCCTGCTTTCCTTTTTGCCCCCCTGTGGTTTCTCCTCCACCCAGTGGCTGTCCAAGAATCATTCTCCACACCGCTCTCTGGGTGGGGGCAAGAGATTGCTCAGAACTGGCACGCCACATGCCACACATTTGCCAGCCTACTTCTCCAGGAAGGGAGGCTCAGAAAGGCCAGGTGACTTGCAGAGGTCAGACAACGAGTGAGTGGTGGAGCTGGGCTGCAAATGCACCTGGGAAAGGAAAACTGCCTCTCAAGCACCCCCCGCACCCCGTGGCTGCTCACCCGCGGACGGCGTGCAGCAGGCGCAGAGAGGGGTACGCAGTACGCACGTTGACGCGGTGCTTCAGGATGAGCTCGTTGACCCACTCGACCCGCTCCTTGCCGCCCCTGGCCATGAAGGCGGGGATCCACAGGATGCTGCCGTTGAGGCTGTGCAGCCGCTGCAGCAGCTTCTCCCGCCACGTGGCGTTGACCAAGTCCTCGAAGGCCCGCTGGATGACAGAGGGGTTCATGGTCACCAGGTCTGTCTTGAGCCCCACATCCTGGGCGTACTCCTGCACCGGGGCCAGGTTGCACCTGCCGGAGAAAAAGGCAGCGATGGTCCTTTTGGGGAAGCTGAGGCACTGCTGCTTATACTTAACTTTATCCATCCTTTATCTCTCCTCGCATCCTTCTCATCCCCAAACAAAGACCTAGGGCATCTTCCTGAATTCACCAGGCCCTCCTGTCATCCCTGTTCTTTCTTCTCCTGACACACATATTGACTGGGCCCTTAGCACATACATAGAACCTTGCTGGGCCCCGGGGTTGTACAATGCCTGCCTGTAAGTCAGCCCTCAGCCCACAAGATGACCATGCTATAGGCAGGTGTGACCTGGTCACATTAGGTGACAGAGTGAGGGCTCTGAAGACACACTCCTGGGTTCAAAATTCAGCTCTGATATTTTCTACCTGTGTTATTCTAGGTAACCTGATCAACCTCTCTGTGCTTTCTGAGAGCCTCCTGGCTAAGGCACAGCCACAACAGTTTTTTTTAGCTATGATGGACATCACAACAGCATCCCCTCCAGGGATTAAGGCAGTCCCTAGACACCCAGTACTTAGAACGCTGCTGGACCACAGTGAGAGCTCAGTACATGTTAACTGTTACCATCATCCTCACGGGGAGGAGCATCGGGTGGGCTTCCTGAGGTGGTGACCATCACAGGAGGTCTGGAAGGATGGCAGAGCAGAAGCCCATCTGTGGATAAGGCACCTCAGGAGAGTGTTTCTCCAGCTTGCAAGAGCAGAAGAATCATCTCAGGCAGTGGTTAAAAATACAGAACCCCGGGCTTCCCTGGTGGCGCAGTGGTTGAGAGTCCGCCTGCCGATGCGGGGGACACGGGTTCGTGCCCCGGTCCGGGAAGATCCCACA